CCAGGAGAGAAAAAGGCAGTCATGGCAGAGGCAGGGGGAGAAGCAGCAGAACAAGGCAGGCCACAACAGTATGCCCAGAAGCAGGCAGGGCAGATCACAAGGTCAGACGCTGCTGCAGAGGATGTAGATGGACAGAGAGTGGTGGTCGGATTTGGCAGTTAGACGTCACTGATGACCTCAGTGTTTAGCTGCTGGGGCCAGGCTTAGTGAGAGTGTCTCCAGTGCCTGGGATGGTGGAATCACAGAGGAGCTGGAGAGAGGGAAGGGGGGAAGTACTCACAGAATGACACCAGGGGGCCTCTGTGCTTCTCTGTACTGTCCACCCTCTTTCAGTTGAAGCTTCATGCAGTAACAGAATTTAAAGCAGAAGGTGAACATCAGGAGCTCCATGTCATTTTCGACGTTCACTGTCATTCCTTGGAAGTTGGCCATTGTTTCTCTCAGAAACTTCTCGTCCTGGAACTCATACATACAATGGAGCAAATGCCAAGAATAAGGTGGTGGGGCGGAATGTTTTAAGCAGAGCTCCCTTCTAGTGTACTGCAGCAGATCTCTATGCCTTTCCTGAGATAGATTGCATTTGAAGATGTTCTCCATCTCTCGCAGCCCCTGCTCACTCAAGAGGCCAAATAGGAAACATGTGGTTGGTGTCCCAAATGGTGTATGAAAATCTATCCCATGTACCATATGCAATTGATCCCATATACCAAGACATATCATATCCGTTATGTCTTCCTCCTCTTTAGTCATCAACACCCAGGACATTGCTGTAAAGAACTCCTGGAAACACCGGTGAATGAAGCTGTAGCACAGAGAGGTAGGGTGCTTCTGAAGGACACCCATCTTTAAGAGTGTAGAGGCAATGGCCCCATCTAACCCATGTTTCCCGAGGTCCTCGAGACTGAACACGGTCTTTCCTTGCCGGGTGCCCTCAGCAGCCAGAGAGCAGAAGTCCCTCAGTTTAGTCCCGATAGACTGAGTTGAGAGGATGTGGAAAAAGTAATGCAGACAGAGGGCTGTGGTGGTTTGGGATGTCAGTGACAGTTCCTGCCCCTGCTCTATTTGTTCCTTCAGGCAAGTGCAGACCAGCCAGGACACCAAGGGCATTAGACACGTGGTCAAGAGTGCCTGGTTGGATTGAACCAGGCTAAAGGCTCTAATCGCTTGGGTTTCATGTGTGAAATACTTGTAGAAGTATTCCTTCCTGGCAGACTCAGAGAACCCTAGGACTTCCACCCAGCGTGGCTGCTTTAAAGAAGGGATGAGCTTCCACATCACTGGTGTGGTCCGAGCTGTGATCAGCAGGGATGCCTTGGGAAGTAAGGTTTTCTCCAGCAAACTTCCCAGGAGTATGGGCACCTGCTGCTGCTGGCTCCAGTGCAAATGGAGCTCAGAGCTCTCTTTTTTCAAGTCCCACTTTGGTTCATCTAAATTATCAAGGATGAAGAGCATCTGCTCCGGCTGAGACAGGATCTGTTCAATGGGAGCTGCAGAGCCAGTCCAGTCCTTCATGAGGAGCTCAGTGAGACTCATTGCCTCGGACTGGGCCAGCTCTTTGCAGTTGAAGTAGAAGACATGCTGGAAGCGGTCCCTGTACAGCCGGCCCTCCTCCCATTCTCTCCTCACCTGCCTGGCCAGTGTTGACTTTCCGATTCCAGCAACCCCATGCAGTATGG